AAAAAAAAGAATACTATTATAAGCCAGGCCTGGTGACTCAAACCTGTAATCCTAACTACTCAGGAGGTGGAGATTACAGTTTGAGGCCAGCCAGGGCAAACTCCATCTCAACCTAGGCACAAGTGGTACACACCTGTCATCCCCGCTAGGCAGGGAAGTACAGATAAGAGGATCGTGATCCAGACTAGCCCAGACATAAAGCAAGACCCTATCTCAAAAATAATCAATGCAAAAAGGGCTGGTGGAGTGGCTCAAGTGGCAGCACACTTGCATAAGGTCCTGCGTGCAATCCCCAGTACTATCAAAAAAAAAAAAAAAAAAACAAAAAAAAACCCTATTATAATTATAATTACACCATAATGACACTTCTACAAACTTAACAAGACAAAAGCTTTATTAAACAATTAAAACAATCTGGAAAAAACCATAAATAGTTAAGAAACTCTATAACCCAGAAACTTTCTTATATTCTTCCTCACTCAAGTCAATCTACTGCATAAAGTCCTTGTCAGCTAACGACTTAATTAGAGCAGAGCTAACCTACTTCATTTGTCTCTCACCATGGACTCTGAACCCTTAGTAGACCTCATCACTGAGACTACAATCTTAAAGGACAAATTTTCACTATTAAGAAAATACTGCACTGGGAACTTGCCTACCTAGTAAGCACAAAGCCCTGAGTTCAAACTCCAGTACTACAAAAAAAAAGAAGCCAGGCACTAGTAGCTAACGCCTGTAGCTCTAAATGTCTACTTGAGAGGCTGAGATCCAGAGGATCAAGGTTTGAGGCCAGCCCAGGAAAACAGTTCTCAAGGTCTCATCTCCAAAATAACCAGAGCAAGATGGACTGGAGGTATGGCTCAAGTGATAAGAGTGCTTGCTCTGCAAGCTTGAAGCCCAGAGCTCAAACTCCAATCCCATCAAAAAGGAAAAAAAAAGGAAGAACACTCACCTAACTTTTTTAATTTTATGAAGCCAATTTAAGAAAGCTGGAGAATATTTTACATGTTTATTAGTTCTGAGCCAACTACAAAGGCTTTTAATTAATTTTATTTTTCTAGTATTTCCCTCATTACAACCATCTGTTATCAGTATAGCTCTAAGTGTCAAATACCTAATCTTATGTCTCCACTGCATTTGGGTTTTCAAAGCTGAAACACCAAGATGCCTAGTATCTCTGTACTATACAAACACATTTTAAAATTCTCAAGTGGGGATGTAGTTCAGTGATAAAGAGTCCTTGCCTAGCATGAAGGAGGTCTGGGACTGATTCCCAAAACTGCAAAAATAATAACCACAATCATTCATTTTTAACACAAATATGAAAAGACTCAATCTATGAATTGGGACCTCATCACTAACATTTAAAATGCTGCATCTTTGGATAATTTGTAGTTCTAAATATGTACTCGTACTTCTATTAAAATTAAATATATTAAACTAAAATTGAGTAGGAAAGAAACTAAGCTACTGATTTAAGCCTCAAAAACATTTTATATATACTTATTTGTTTTTAAATTCTTACCTGCATTATTAGTACTAGACTGACTATCCTGGGAATTATCATTGTTTTCAGGGGGAGGCTGCAAGGAGGGTGATGGAGCTGTTTTAGTTCTTTTTTTGCTTGTCTTTCTTTCCACTTGACAGTCATCATCTTCGTCATCTTCACTTTCACTAAGATCATCAAAGCCAAAATATTTAATTTTGTAATTAGAACTTCCAGAACCTCCTTCATCACCTCCTGTATCATCATGATCTTCAAAACCAAAAAATTCAAGTTTAACATCCTTTTTGGACTTAGTATTACTAGGTCGAAATCTAGTAGTAGTCTTCGAAGTTGCAATATCTGCCTTTTTTCTGAGACGGCCAGCTTCTCCTAAATCTGCAGGAGTGGATGCAGTGAACTCATCCATGCTGCGTTCCATAGTATCCTGTATGGTTACATTACAAACTGACAAGCAAGATGGATGTAAAACAGTGTAATCTCTAGTCCGTCCAACCGTCCCTCTAAAACTGGTCCCACAACTTACACCGCCTTTCTTTGCCTGATTCAGGCCATCTTTACTTGATTCACTGTTTGCTTTGGCTAAGGCCTGACTGGTGCCGTCCATTAGCTTATCAAAATTTGATGCTCCTTGGGAGGATTTTGCCTTATTGGCCCTACAGTACGTCCTACAGTTGCTTGGCCTAAGAACACTTTGCACAATGTCTTCCTCAATGGCTTCATTTAGATTTTCCAATCGATTTTTAAAATCCTCATCCTTCATTTCCAAAAGAGGATCACTATCCAAACTTAAAATACAATCTTCTGACCTGATATCTTCAAAATCATTATCCCATTCATATAAGCCAGTTCTTACAGATCCTTTGATTGGAGCTATTTCCGATGGAGAGTCTGATCTTTTCCCAAACTGAGAATTCCAAGTATCATTTGTTTCCTTAATTTCATCAGCTGTGTATCCAGGAACCACTGTGGTTTCTGCGTTGGGTTTCTTAGTACTGTCTTCAGCATTTCTGTGAAAATGACTATTTTTTTCATGTTCTTCACTAAAATTCTCTACTTTATCTACAAAAATGAAAAAAGTACAAAAACATGAATGGCATCCATATACAACTTAACAAAAAGCAGGGATATTTGGTTAACAGTGCAAAACCAATTAATCTTGAAATAACTGCAATAGTTAATGTTTACACACCAGTTGCCTTCCTACCACACCTTTTCAGTATACTCAGCTCTCATGTCTTCTAATGATCTGCCTCAGGCATCCAAGTCCCTTAAAACTGTCACCTTACGCTTTTAACCCAAGAGATTTTCAGCAATGTTAAAAAAAATTGAACCAATTCAACACATCATTTAAATGACTCAGCCAAAATTTCTCAGAGTATTATGGCTTTCAAATAACAATGCTTACATTAAAAATTATTTAGAACTTAAACCATGTTAGCACAATTAATGAAAGCCTTACCAGCAATGTTTATATTTCTTTGGAGTAGGGCTGCCCATAAGGTATGCCAGTTCTGTCTAGAAACCTGTCCACAGGATCAAGTTTATATTCATTCTCCTAATCCCAAAAGCCACATAACCTCAAGGGATTTTTAACATTGGCTCTAATGCCTAAGTGGCTACTGAGGCTATTTATGCATATCAACCAGTAAGTCTTAACCTGCCTATTCATTTTCTACTTGGGTAATTCATTTTTGTTGCTGTAAATTTTTATCATCAGCAATTTTTTTTTTTGTACATTGGGCTTTGAACTCAAGGCCTTGTGCTTGCTAGCCAAGCAATTTACCACTTGAGCCATGTCCTCAGTCCTTTTCACTTAAATTATTTTTGAAATAGGGTCTCAAGGTACCTCACTCCTATAATCCTAGCTACTCAGGAGGCGGAGATCAGGAGGATTGTGGTTCAAAGATAGCCTGGGGAAAACAGTTCAAGAGACCCTATCTCAAAAATACCCAACACAAAAAAGGGCTGGCAGAGTGGCACAAATGGTAGAGTGCCTGCCTAGAAAGACGAAGCACTGCGTTCAAATGTCAATAACACCACCAAAAAAAAAGGGGTCGGGTGGGGTGGGGAGCCAGTTATAAGTAAAGTCTGAGACCAAACCTGAAGAAATAATACTGTTGCTTTTGTAACATGTAAAAAGACCACAGCGACCTGAATCTATAGACCTGTACTGCCCTAATTAAGCTAGCTCTGTAGAATTCAGGCAAGCCTGGAGTATTCCTGAGAGTTTTAATTTTCTCATCTGTTCAACGGGGAACCACTAACCTATTCTAGTTCACAGAGTAACTGAATGAATTACTGGGAATAAATGCCTATGGAAAGGTTTAGTAAACATTTAGTATGCTTAATAACATAAAGATCTCTAAGATATCACTAAATATTAAACTATATCATTTTTATAGTTGTATTCTACTGTCTTAGTATCACAAAATTTAGACTATTTCTATTTTATTCGTAAACAATGTTCTGACTTTTAAAACATTTATGAGAACTTTTATAAATAATAAATTTCATTAACCAGTTTTTAAAAATTACAAGTTTTGTTATCTGCATTTCTTCTAAAAATCAGAGTATATGTTGTGTTTGTGCATTTCAAGTTATTATTCTCATCAACCGGCTGTGATTGTAAGAATTTAACTTTGTTGCAAGTGCAAAGAATGATAAAAAGCTCTAAAAGAAAATATCCTCAGGCTGGCACCCGTGGCTCACACCTGTAATCCTAACTACTAAGGAGGATGGCGGTTCAATGCCAGCCTGAGCAAATAGTTCAAGAAACTTTATCTAGAAAATTCCCAACTCAGAAAAGGCCTGGCAGAGTGGCTCAAGTGCTAGATCACCTGCGTAGCAAGCATGAGGCCTTGAGTTCAAACCGAGTACAACCAAAAAAAGAAAAGAAGCTGTATCATTAACAAAAATCAATACATCCAAGTATTCAACTATTAGCATAAACAATCCTTCAGATGAATTATTACAGTGTGTATATATATATACATATAAAAAACTTCTGAAACACAGTACCTAAGTAAAAGCTAGTAACACAGCTCTATTTTAGTACATAAAATAATTGTGCCCTATTAGAGTTACAGCTACCTTATCCTAAAATGCAGATTTGCAACTACTTTAACTGTCCTATCCCCTCAAATATCCCAGAACATCCCACTTAACAACTCAAAATATAAAGTACATAAAGAGAAAAAAAGACAAAAAGAAGACAAAGATGGTGGCTCACATTTGTAATTCTAGTTACTTTGGAGGCAGAGATCAGGAGGACCACCATTTCAAGTCAGCCTGGGCAAAAAAAAACCCAACACAAGGCTGAGGAGTGGCTCAAGTGGTAGAGTGCCTGCCTAGCAAGCATGAGGCCCTAAGTTCAAACTCCAATACCACCAAAAAAATAAATAAATAAAATAAAAAGGAAAAAGAGTTCAAAGACAGCCTGGGCTATCCATGGAGGGAGAGGGAGAGTAGGGAGAAAGAGAACAGAAGAAGAAAAGGAGGGAGGGAGAATTAGGACTAAGTTTTTATGAACTGTGTAACAAATGTATTTCTAGCAAAGACAAGCAATGGGGTTAACTTACTGGCTAAACTGTCCTTGTACAAGTCACCTTTAGAAGTTCAAGTGTTTCTTTTGAAAAAGTAAACTAACAGAATCAGCTTCAAGGGCAGATGAAAAGATAATATACTTAAGAATATTTTGCACATTATAAAAGCATCACACAACTGCAAATTATGGCTATGCCACAAGAGATAATTATAATAACCTTTTATTAAGAATCTTCTTAGAATCCTACCCTATAAATTCATCAATTCTCTCCTTATGTCCTAAATACTACACCTCATGCAAGAGAACCAATGCCATATTCTAGGGTCTATTGTTCTTACAGAAGTTAGAGTGAAGACTGGATGTGTAGTGAGCTCTCAGTATAAGACTTAGCTCTACATCATCTATGATCAGGTACTTAGTACACTTTAATTTTAGTTTTTTGCCATAAGTGATAAAGAGCACATGCTTAGCATGTATGAGACCTGGGTTCAATGCTTAGCACCTCCCCCTAAAACCATTAAGAAACCCTGAATAAAAAGTAATTAAATGGCACACCTATATTCCCAGCATTCTGGAGGCTGGGGTAGGAGGATATTAAGCTCAAGGCCAGGTTGGACTAAATAGTAAGACCTGTCTCAAATTCTGCACCCCCCCCCCAAATTAATCGACTGCCCACTATTCCCTGGATTCTTAATTTTGTAAGAAAGGTATTTCTTTACACTAGTCACCAAACCCACCATTATGCAGATGAGGAAAGAGAGACCCAAGAGACTAATGACTGTAAAGTCTCCAATTAAACCAATAACCAAGAGAGGTCTCATAAAGAGAGCTTCATTGAGTTATGTATTACACTACCTCAAGTGGTGGCTGCTAAAAACTGAAGTTTCTAAA